TAAGGAAAGACGAAACGTTTGGTTAATTTACATGTCACGGCTGAGTTATATGTTTGAGGGAAGACGAAAGGTTTGGTAAAATTACATTACGGCTGAGTTATATGTTTAAGGGAAGACGAAAGGTTCGGTAAATTTACATGTCACGACTGAGTTATATTCTCCAGAAAAGACGAAAGATGGGTTTAAATTATGTTACGGCTGAGTTATATGCTTCAGGGAAGACGAAAGGTTCGGTAAATTACATGTCACGACTGAGTTATCATTCAGGGTAGACGAAAGGTTGTGTAAATTATATGTTACGGCTGAGTTACATCACGTTACGGCTGAGTTACATCACTTTACGGCTGATTTATAATACAGATCGAAAAGCAATATTTTTATGGAGAAGACAATATAAAATTTATTGGTCAAATAACAACAATCAAATTAAAAAACGTAAAAATATGTTTGAGGGATACATAGGAGGAAGACTAAACCGTATGAATCAAAACATAGATAGAAGTAGAATGTCTCCAAATAGATCGATTGAGAAGAAGATTAAACGAGAGACATGTAAAATCAAAGTAAAAGAGTAGCTATTCTTGATTTCAACTCATACCTGTAACGAATCATGTAGAATTCCATAGATCTCTTTGATTTGGGTTTTGATTTTTGATGACTTTTTTCGTGAGCGAGGTTGCGAGTAGATCTGACGAAGCTTTTGATTTGGGACCCTATGGCAAGCGTTGTGGCTGTGAGGTCTAGGAAGATCTAGCCCAATCGTGCAATTTGAAGATCTTTGTCAATGTTGTACCCAAGTTAGTTGCAGAATATTTGATCTAAAAGCTTTTCTTGGATTTGGAGACAAAAAAAGAGAAGAGGGAAATAAAATGAGTTTGAGGAGCGTGAGATTGGTGATGTGGATTAATGACATGTATAATCAAATTTTTATTTATTATTTTTAATTAAAAACGAATAAAAAATTATTAATTAAAAAAAAACTAATGAAGAGTGTTAACTGTAATTACACGAATGCTCAAAACATATGAGTAATTTTTAAAAGATATATGATATTCTAATAATATACATACTTTTTTATAACATCTGAGTAATTTTTTTTTTTTTTTTTTTGACTTCAATTTAAGTACATATGATTGTCCGGTTAATTTTTGGGTATTCGGATTTTGTTTTATTTGTCAAATTTAATGGATGTTGGATAACATGTTTACACTTCTATTAGGACAGTAACACTTTTTGTATTGTGGTTGACTATTTTAACCTTTTGTACAACGAAGAGAGTGAAAAATAAGTGATATCACCTTCGCTCTATTCTTCCAACAAGGCAACAACATCATCAATATTTAGTTTATTGTTAAAAAGTTAAAATACATCACTATTCTAGAGACATCAAAATAGTTATGTGTTTTGAATCCATAATTCTATAAATACATTTACTCAGTTTTAACTCTGTATATATAATAGAAGAGTTCTCTTTCTATCTACTATGTCCACATCATCATCCATATCATCATAATTTTTTTTCTGTGAGTTCCACATATCTTATTTATTGCAACAAAAACATTAAAATAAAATTAATTTACATACTTTTTATTATTATCTTTCATTAAAAAACTATAATAATTTACAAAAATAAATTAAATATTAAAAAAACGAAAAAGTACAAATATAACACAAAATAAATTTTGAATAGAGATTAGATACAAATAAAATTAGATACTTATATCTTAACGTATAATCAGTAAATACTTTTAAACGGTTAGAGATAGGAAAAATAAACTTATCATATATTTTTATGGTACAACAATCATTTTTAATAGTTACAATTATTTAGTTGACTAAAGAACATAAGAGTTCAGAAAAATACCAAAATTAAAGGTTTTTACTTAAAATAAGAAGTAATTTATTTCTGAAAAATGCACATTTAAAATTTGAGAATATATTTATTAATGTTAAAGTACTGATACTGGGTTTCTCTATAAATATAATATAAATAGTTAAACTAATAAATTTCTCTATATTACTAATATTTTCTAAATTAAAAAATACTGGGTTTTTGAAAAACAAATGAATACCTAAAAAGGAAAAACTAAATATTCATAAGTGTTTAGAAAATTATTATAGATTGAAAAAATAAAGTGGTTTAAAATAAAATAAAAACTATCCTAAACATCACAAATAAAAATAAAATAATCTAATCGAATAATGAAAATGTGTAGTAATAATATTTGAAATATTATTTGTAAATTAGAATAGTAATGACAGATAGAAGAGTTTTTAACTAGAAATAAGAAAGATTTTGTGTTTTTCAAAATAAATTTATTTTAAAGTTAGAATTAGGAGTTTGTAAGTTACACATTTTAAGAAAATCAACATTAAGAATACAATCTAGAATCATATTACGTTAAATTATTCTAGGAAAATTGTTAAAAATGCTCCTTTTGGTGTGTCCCTTTTAAAAAATGCCCCTTTTAGATGTCCATTTTAAAAAATGCCTATTTTCAAATCTGAAATTTTTATAAAGTTTTATTAGGTTTATAAGGTACTTATGGATTGTAACTACTACTTGAAGACTCGATCCAAGTATTTATAAGGTTTTATAAGGTGTTTTTAAAGGTTTTACATGTTATTTTAAAGGATTTTAAAGGTTTTTCAAAGGTTTTACAAGATATTTTAAAGGTTTTTAAAGGTATTTAAAATACATTTATAAGGTATTTATAAAGTATTTATAAGATTTTAGATACATAGAAATGTAGTTTGTGTATGTTTTAATAATGTTACATACATATTTGGGTAAATCTTATATTTTTAAGAGCATTTATAAGGTTTTAAAGAAGGGGCATTTTTGAAAAGTGGCATTGAAAAAGGGGCATTTTTGCAAAAGCCCCTAAATTCTATATGTGAAAAGGAACTTTTATATTTTTCAAACGATCAAGATCAAATATTAAATTTGATGTTGAAATCTGATGTTTGTGAAAAATAATAAGTCCATATATGAAATTTGTTATCTATAAAGAAATAGTGAATAGTGAATTTTTTTTTACTATTTTGAAAAGATAATGTAAATTAGAAAAGTAAATATTTTAAAATTCTAATGATTATATTTAGACTCAAAGATTCATATTAATAAATGTTTTATATTAAAATCTCGTGCAACGCGCATGTACATAATCTAGCGATGCTAATTAACAACATTAACAGTAAATAATTTCACGGATCCATGGACAAGATCAGAACTCTGTCTGTTGATGATGATTCATTGCAGCTTCCCCTGTAAGGCTGTAACGTAACAACGAAGAAGATGAGAACTTCAGAGACTTCAAACAGAGAAAACAAAGATTCCGATATAATTACCAGGTCACATTGTTGAATTCAAAAGTATATGTTTTTTATTACAAAGTCTCTTGTTCACATGTCACGTGCGGAATTCGTCTTTGACTGGGTAGATTAGCCACAAAACAATTGGAACACTATCCACATAAGAACTGAAGAACATATGGATACCAAAATACAATATAAAGGCAACTAAAAGTCGCACGTTTATTTTTCTCTTAGTCAAAGTATACCAAAATATAGTCGCAGAAACAAAAGTCATACTTTTCTTTATTTTCATTTTACATTCACTAGGTTATGAACCCCGCGATATCGCGGGGAACTAATTTTCAACAAATATATTTTATTACGTTTATATATTAAATTATTATTATAATATATTCAAATAATTGAATTATTATATAAAATTAACTATGTCTTAAAGTTATATCATAAATATTTTCTAAAGATATTAAAAAAAATTTATGAATAAAAATGTAAAAAACAAAATTATGATTAAAAACCACTTTTGAAAATTTTTTGTGAATGTAAAATTATTTATAAGTGACAAAATAACTAACGAAGAGTTATAATATAGAGAGGAAAAATTCTAGCGGGTCAAAACCAAAAAGATATAAAAACACAACCAGAAAAATAACCGTCAATACAAAAGTAACCGTCAATATTTTAACGGAAAGTTGCGATAAAAAGACACAGCCAAAAAAATAATCGTCAACGAAAAAAAGAACCGTCAATATTTTAACGAAGAGTTGCGATAAAAAGATACAACCGAGAACAAATAACTGTCAATATTTTAGCAAAAAATTGCGATAAAAAGATACAACCGAGGAAAAAATAACCGTTAATATTTTAACAGACAAAAAAAGACAAAATCGAGAAAAAAATATCGTCAATAATTTAACAAAAAGTTATGATAAAAAACAGAAACGAAAAAAGTAACCGTCAATATTTTAACGGAAAGTTGAGAGAAAAAAACACAAATAAAAAAATAACCGTCAACGAAAAAAGTAACCGTTAATATTTTAACGAAAAGTTGCGAGAAAAAGACACAACCAAAAAATAACCGTCAACTAAAAATTAACCGTCAATATTTTAACGGAAAGTTGCGATAAAAAGACACAACCGAGAAAAAATAACCGTCAATATTTTATCGGAAAGCTGCGATAAAAAGACACAAACGAATAAAGTAACAAACAATATTTTAACGGAAAGTTGCAATAAAAGACACAACCGAAAAAAACCCGTCAATATTTTAATGAAGAGTTGCGATAAAAAACACACTCGAAAAAATAACCGTTAATATTTTAACGGAAAGTTACGATAAAGAGACATAAGCGTTCAAAAGTGCAAAATACATTTATTGAGGTTGTTATTTTGGTTAATAAAACCAATTTGATATGTAGTCTAATGGTTGATGTAAAAAAACTTTGTAGTATTACTAACTATACAAAAAATGCAATGAAATTATATAATGTAAAGACGTAACTTTAAATGAATAAATGCAACTATAAAGATATAACTGTAAACTGAAAAGATACAACTGTAATTGAACAAATATACCGTAAATAATTCAACGAAAATTCAAAGAGAAAATTCTATAAAAAAACATAACCGTAAGAAAATAACCGATTTAAACGAAAGGTTGCGATAAAAAAACGCAACCGTTCAGATGTGCAAATGGTATTTATTAGATTGCTATTATATATAGATTATTGTAATATCGCTAGAAGTATTCATATCCACTTATTACACAGACCATAACTAAAAATGAACATAAGTACATAACAAAAGATTCAAACATACAGAGGCTGCGTCTGCGTCTGCAGCCATAGTGTATTTATTAGCGTCGCGATTACTTTAGATTTTATTGAGGAGTATCATCACAGGAGTCACATAAGCATTTAACGTTACTGCCCTCTCCCCAACGACACCTTCCACCTTTAGCTCCTTTGATTTCACGGCATCTTGTATAACAAATCGTCGGAAATATCCGAGGGGCACAAAAGCCGAAACCAACATCACCGCCATATTCTTCCAAGCATTCGCTACCTTGAGCTTCTATCTCCGGCATGTCTGTCATAAACAAAAGAAAACATAGAATCACATATAATGAATTTGCTAGCTATGATCACAGAGATTTTTTAATTTATTTAAAATAATTTCAAGAAACGCAGAGTAAGTTTGCTTACCAGAGATAACCAAGAAGAAGATGAAAAAGACAACAAAGATGGAAACAGATTTTGTTGCCTTTGCCATTTTCTCTGTTTAGCTAACTTTGGGTTTCTTGTTATGTGTTTAACACTTGGTGTTGCTGCTATTTATCTTTATCTTTAGGACCAAACCGATTTGCTTTGTGCTATGAAACCGAACTATACCAAAACTAAACCAGCCAAATAATGGATTAAATTGAATTTTCAAAAATTTTAGTTTGAATTTTTGACCTTTTCATTTGACTTCGAATCGTTTCCCACCATCGCATATGAAGTTGTATGTGTAATGTATATCTTCTATACTAGTATTTTTGAAGTACATTTTATATCGGGTGGGTTAAAAAATTATCCGAGATTTTCGGTATCCGATCCGATACAAAATTTATTTCAAAAATCTTACACCGAATATTTCATTTTTTTTTTGTATCAGGTCAAAACATATCCGAAATTGTGAACTAGATATTCCTTGTCTAATAATATAGATATTTAGAAGATTTGGTTAAGATTTAAAATTACGATTCTCCTATCATTTTTGTTTGAATTTTCTTTTGACTATTTTGAATCATCATATAATACATAAAGTTTAAAAAGTCTCAATTATTTTTTCTGTATATATTGTGATTTAAAATTTTAAAAACGGATATGTATTACCCAATTGATAAAAAAAGGTGTGTATTCAATCAATGTTCTATATTGGCTAAAATGTTTAGACAAAGATTCAGAATCATATTATAAGTAAGATCAAAATAAATTCAAATCCGAATGTATAAGAAGCTGAACTTAACAAACATCAACATTAGTAACGTAGATATTACATCCAACTTTTATTCTGTGATTCATATAAAACGAAAAAACATATACATTTCTACCGACTCCGCTATACCAAAAATGTCTTTATATATAACTGTGTAGATGTCATAAGCTTGTTCCAAGGTAACCATTGCTGGCACCATAACTACTTATAGGGGGGAGGCAAATCATGAACCATAAACTTCACTGAGTGTTTTCCCATACCATTTAGTATCTCCAAGCATTCTTGGAGATCAGAATCTGTAACCAGCATCACCCATTTTTCTTCATCATCCAACTACTTCAGTTGAAACGATCCGTCTTGTAGCTTAAAACGTTTCCCAACTTCTTTATTGAACTACACAGTCTTCTCTATAAGTGGCATTTACGATCAGCGTTGTTGATCCACTCTCGTCGCTATTATTGTTGTGGGTTCTCATTTGGTTCCAATCTTCCATGGAAGTAGATGAGCCTCCGCCCAGATACTGCACCTGAGCAATTTGATGAATCTGATATGCTGCATGACATGGATTGGTTAGGTTCAACAATACTGCCACTGCATCGGATTGTTGGATCCATTCCATCTGAAATTTTGAGAGAGCTTAAGTTGCAAACGCCTTTTATTCCTTCACTGCCATTCAAGCTAGACTGTTCTGCCATCCAACCCCATGGTTGACCACTAACATTAACCTCCATGAAAGATCCTGCAAAAATTGAAAATAACTTAAGATTCTAATCGATCCATCTATTGTTTATGGATAGAGAGGTTCTTACCTGATCTTGCTTGGTTCATGGTAATATGCTCTTCTAACTTAATGGCATTGTCGACAAATTTAGCTTCCTGGAGTGATATAGATCAAATATTCAAATTAGACATGTAGACTACTCTCTCAAATAAGAGATCAATTGTAGCACTTAAGGGTCGAATTTCACAAAGTTCTTTTGTTCACACAATAAACTAACAGTTTCGAAATTAGGCTAAATAAAATAATAAGCAAATTAAAATAAAAACACGCAATTAAATCAAGTGAAAATTCAATAGGATTAAAGCGTCAGGTTTAGAAAATTCTCAGGAAATAAACTAATAGTAAATCTAGCAAATTAATTAGGATTATTATCGAACCGTTCTAGAACTCAAATCACTAATCTATAGCCACCCAGCTCTCGCTCGCATTGACTAACTAAACCTAGTATCAAGTAATTCCATCCTCTCGAATGTGAATTCCTAGATCTAGACTAGCATTGAAAACAAGTTTGATATATTCACAAATATTCCTAGACCTCCTCTCGAATGTATCTAGAAATCTTTGCCCACCTAAGATAGTTCCAGTAATAGGCGCCCTCTCGGATCAAAACTTATTATCCTATGATCAAGTTCTAGTTAGTTACTCTAGAACTAGCATTAAGAACAACTTAAGGTGAAGAACTCTAAAGACTAATCCTAACAGATAATCGATTTACTAATTCATCTAAATCCCTAATGAGAATCCCTAAACCTAACATGGTTATTACTCAGACATAATCAATGAAGCAGAAAACATGTTTGAATAAATTACAAATAAGAAATCAAATAAAGAATAGAGTTTAGAATATAAATTTTCTCTCTACAGGGTTTTGAAATCTCTGAAAAGTTGCTCTCTCCAATTCTCTTCCAAAAGGTTCAACCTCAGAGAATTACAAAGCCAAAAGTAAAAGGAAGATCTAAGATAATGAAATAGAAAAACCCTAAAAACTATTTATATTGTCTCCAAAAACGTGCAAGGACTAAAGTTGCAAATAGGGAAGTCATCTGGGTTGATTCTTCGGGCTTTAAAACTCTAAATCGTCGAGACTTTTGCTGGGCCTTGTGTGGTGTCAATCGACACCAAGGGGTGTCGGTTGACACTCATGCCTTGGTCTGACACCGAAATCGTTCATTCAGCTCTTAATCTCCGGTTTAGCTCCAGAATGGTTCATTTTCTCCAATTTGTCCCGAACGTGTAAAAACCTGAAAAAACTCAAAAAGGCTCTAGAAATAACAAAAAAAAAAAACTCTAAAACTGACACATATATCATGGCTAAAATCGGTAAAATGATATATCATGGAGCTCGAATGAAGTATCGTCAGTCATATTCTCCGACTTCTTCTGGCATGTGCATCATTCCCATTAGAAGATGGACCCTTTTGGTTATCAAATTCTTGGATAAAAGGTCCAACTGCAATGAATTCGCCTGTTGCTGAGTCAAACTTTAGTCCAATACCGTCTGTATTTTCCTTAATGAACTGTTCACTTTGTTAATCGTACGAGATGGCCACCTCATGATCCCATGCTGCCTACATATCCATTTTAATGTTGTTGGACAAACTGCAGAAGATAATCCAAGTCAAGGTTTAGATAGTTTGTGTGCTAACAAAAATAAATCCATGCCTAGAAATATGTCGAAGTCTCACCACCAAGGCTTTTAGACTCCCAAAAAAGTGTTGTTGGCGAGCGCTTAAGCTCATATTTTTCTCTGTAGTGCTTTTCTTCTTCTTGCTCATAACCTATGAAAAGTTGTAAGAAAAAATATCAGTGCTCAATTTACCAAACTTTTCACAAAATCTATAGAATAACCAAATGTAGACATCACGTACCTTCTCCAAAGTGCCTTGAGATACTGTGATACTGTTTTCTTTATCAGAGGACATGTCCGAAAATATGCTTCTAGTGTTTTTCAATGTGTGCATTAATTGGATTCCAAAATAAATATACATCCATTTGTACAAATATGAAAATAAACTTTCTTTGATAACAAAAGGTGAAAGGTAAGTAAATTCTTAAAATTAGACAATTGTATAATTATTTTCCAGCGAATCAAAATTAAAACTTGAAATAGAATTATAGGGAGATATGTCATATATCACCAAAATAATATGAAAAACATCTTATATATCTTTAATATATTTTGATCTTAAGTTTTATTTAGAATGATGATAAATAAAAATGCTCATATTTTTAGGAGGAAGATGATTTTATTTCTTTTAAAATAAATATTACTAAATCTAAAATAGATAATGTGTATCTCATTTCAAAAATAAAGAACATGTATTTGCCAAATAAAAATGGACACATGTTAGCTTGAGAGACAACACATGTCTGCTTCTCGTAGTAGAGGAATCCTTCTTTATTACTCTCTCTGTTTCGAAATATAGGAGATTTTAGAGATTTTTTTGTTTCAAAATATAAGATGTTTTACACATTTCTATGCAATTTTTAAATATATTTAATATTATATGACCATTTCTATTTTATAGTTTTTTATATCATTGGTTGGATTTTTTTTTTTTGAATATTAAATGATGGTTTTTAAAACAACAATAAATTTCTTAAAATATGTGTTTTTAACTTAAACATCCTATATTTTTAAACAGAGGGAGTACTATATCTATACTAGTAACTTTGAAGTACATTTTTAGTGGATGGAGTAAAATGCATTTGAATACAATGGATATCCGACCCGTTTATAAATTTTGGTCATAAAAATTTTGTTGGATCGGGTTATATTTAATCCAACTCATACACCGGTTATTCCGTATTTAATAATTTAGATATTTAGAAGATTTGATTAAGATTTAGAATTATGATTCTTCTATCATCTTTGTTTGATTTGTTTTTAATTGTTTTGAATCAACATATAATACTTAAATAAAAAAAAATTAATTTTTTTCTCTGCATATACTGAGATTCGAAAGTTTAAAAACAGATGACGAAAAATATGTGTTCAATGTTCCACATCGACTAAAATATTTAGATAATGATTTAGAATCATATCATAAATAAGATCAACACTAATAAAATAAATGAGTTTTTTTTTTGCGGAACGGGTATAGCGAGGCAGGTTATTGAATCAACAATAATAAAAAAATTAAAATATCATTAATCCGCAGCTTCAATACGGATTAAATCCTTAAATTTGTTTTGATACCACCAATATTAGACATATCAAATCAGTCACTTTAAGAAAATTTGTATAAAACCAAAAATTGTCCCGTGGTATAATGTTACTTAATAACAATTGTAAACTATAAAATATAAATATCTTAGAGAATAATACAGTGTACAAACTTTTATATATAATAAATAATTTTTAAGATTTTAAAATTACTATTTTTAGAAAACAAATTACGGAATGGATTAAGAAATTAGAAGACGAGTTATATTTTGGAACGGGGTTATATGGTGGACGAGTTTGAATCAATATTTATAAAATTTTAAAATATCATTAACATGCCGTTTTAATACGGGTTGAATCCTCAGTTTATTAACAATTGTCCCGTGGACTCGTGGTATACCGTAACTTAATAACAATTGTAAACTATAAAATATAAATATTTTATAAAGAGGTATAATTTGCAAAATTTTATATATACTAACTTAAAAAAATAAATTATCCCGCGGTATACCGCGGATTAAAATATAGTATATATATATATATATATATAAAGGGACACATGTCAACTTGAGAGATGTTATGTATCAGCTTTTCCATGCTTATGTTTAAAAGGAACCTTTTTTATTATATATAAAATATATATATTGCAATATTGTTTGAGTTATCATTTACAAGCAAACACCAAAATGTTTCCGCAATTGAAACTAATCGTCCTTCTATCTCTCGTTGTAATTCACCTCCTTCATGTCTTGGCCAAAAAATGGTGTGTGTCAGCGGCATCTGCGCCAGATACACAACTACAACTACAAGCTAATATTGATTGGGCATGTAGCATAGGAAAAGTTGACTATGTAAAAATCAATCTAGGTGGAGATTGCTATGAACCAAATACTCCTACTAGTCATGCATCATTTGTGATGAATGATTACTACCAGAACCACGGAAACACTGAAGAGACATGTGATTTCAATCATACTGGTCAAATAATTGGTGCTGATCCAAGTTATCGTCGTTGTAGGTATACGTAGAATATATTGTTTGATGAATAATTTTTTGTGATTGCAAAGTTTTCTAGCGAATAATACAATTATGTAGAATCGAAAGTATTATTAAATATTTTGTAGGTTAATAAAAACTAAATTTATTTTTCATTCATTTTAGTCATAATAAATGTTTATATATTGATGAATTTGTCATTATATTCAACATTTTTTGTGATTCTCTCTTACAACAAAGTCATTATTTAAAATAAATACAACTTGTGTACCAAAACTCTTAGAATGGTGTAGAAGTCATCACTATTTTATAACGTAATAGTTTATAAACTATTAATATTGTATCTTTCATAAACTATTAATATTGTATCTTTCATAAACTATTAATATTCGTTCAATTGTTAACTATTCTTAAATTCTGATAGAAACTAACATAATGCGTTAAGATTTATAAACTAAAATAAACATATATAGAAATATTTTTTCTGATGGAAAATGTTATTGATAATTTAACACATTCGTATGCCTATAAATTATTATATATGATGAGTAACATAGTAATCTCAACCTAATTTCAACTTAACTTTTAGAAAATAATAATATATTTAATAACTCACAAATTGTTTTTGACAAACTAAAAAAAATAAACATAACTAATAATCTAGCTGCATGATTTGAAACTTATACTTTTCACCCATTTTTGAAACAAAAATTTGTCTGAAGTCGCTAGAGAATTTGACAACAACGAAGAAGAAATTTTGGTTTTCTTATCTCGTTTGGTGATAAAACAAGGCTTTGAAAAAGCATCCAATGTCGACATGATGGTGAAATCTCTGTAAAGTATTACTAGGACTGTCAGAAGAGGATATGTTGGTCTAGGGAACATGTTGGATTGACATTTGGGATGAGTTCAAGAGAAAAATCAAGAAACAATTTCAACTTCGAAAAAATGTATGATCCGCAACTATGTCAAAATTTTTTAATATCTTTACACTTTAAAATCCTAACAGCTCATTCAAGATTCGGTGCTCCATTTTATCGATAGACTTTAAAAATGGAGTAAGCAAGAGTTGCAACAGTGAAGGATTTAGTCGGTGGATGAAGCCTTGTGGCCAATTCGCTCTAGAATTTATACAACGTGGACCGACTCAAGACCTTCGAGGAGAGGAACTTGTTGTATTCACACCAACCTATGACATTCGAGAGGAAGAAAAGGTGATGTCTAGACAAAGGTTGGGGTAAAATTGTAGTAACTACAATTTACATTAAGTTACATAGTGCGGTAATAATTACTAACCCTAATTACTATTGTAGAAATTGTTGCTCTAACATGCTACAATTTACTTTCAATCATTTTTATGTTTATTTCATGATCCTAATCACTGCAGTTATAAAACAAGACCTTAACTTATAAAACCATCAAACCTTATGGAATTCTTTTATAAAAAGTATAACACAATTGGAAGTAAGACTATAATCCCATTTTTTTATTGTGGAAGATTAAAATCTTAGGTTCGAGTAACGGAGACGGACAAAACCCATTGGAGATTAATTACACGCTTAGGTTCGAGTAAAGATTAAGAGCTGTGTTTGGTCTCGGACTTGAGCAGACTACGAGCATTAAACCCAGTGGATAAAAAACTACATTAGGATTAGAGGCTCTGAATATAATTTGGTCGGGGTCCACGGGCTCATATTCGTATTAAACCCCCACACATGATAGAATATTTAACCCTGATGCCAAAGGAAAGAGCCTTACCATCCGCCCATGAGCTCCTCTGCAAGGATGGCCCTTTCGATATATATACGAAAGACAATTTGATAATGGTCCTATAAGAGGCTCCACATAAAAAAAATCAATGTAAGAGATTAAAATATTTTTATATAAATAATAATATTAGAGAAGTTATTTATCTAATTTGTTGAACTGTCACTATCTCGCCATTCCTCAAATTAACGTTTTTCTAAGGACAAAAACATAAGTGACATTTTTCAACTGAGAAAATACATCAATTTTTGAAATCAAATCTCATCAAAAAATTTCCCTCATTTTTGTTCGATGTTTTTCTTTTATTCAAAAGACAGAAAAAATGTGAAACAAAGTCACATGAAAGAGAGATAGTCTGGTCATATCTTGTGGGTAGACCTTGATAATAAAACAAAGTAACAAACTTTCGACCTTATGTGTTTATTAATAATATATCCATTTAAAATTTAGATTCGGTTATAGTTTGTATAACAAAAACAAAATATATATATATACTAAACTGGTGTTTTGGCTTTTATAAATTCATAACTTCTTCAATCAATATCTTAGCTGTGGATGTAAGATTGATTTTTATATGGATTCTTACATAAGATAATTATATTAAAAAAAACTTTAAAAAGATAGGATAAAGCAAATAAAAGGTGATGACAGAAGGCTAGAGAGCACAAAGGAGTAAGATGCAAAGAAACTGCTCCGAATTGTATCTTATCATCTGTGCTCTCTATCTTCTGTCAACACTCTCAATGCCTCTCAAACCATTAAATATCGATATTTTGATTTACGACTGAAAAAGGATATTGAAAGAGCCTAATACATACCTTTATGAACATCAAGAACTTGATGAAAAAAAAAACGAAGTTGATGATCCGTTTAGTTATAAATAGAAGAATAATATGATATGGATGGTGTAGAGAAGTACCAAAAGGGTTGTTGATTAAATGATGATGATGATGAGATTTCTTGAAGCCAATATTTATAGACGCATAAAGAGCAGCTAGATGATTTATCTCCGCTCCTAAATTTGATCATTTTGTTTCAACAAATGTGAAATAATCGTTGTTATGAATTGGTTCCTTTGGTATATCCAGCTTTAAAATTCTATCCCTCAATTAAAAAACTTTAATTCTTGTTGAAAGAAAAAAAGTTATTATTCCCGATCAATGTCCAGCCGAGATGGATCCAAAGAAAACTTCATAGGTCTACTAACGAATCAATAAGGTAAACAATTTTTTAAAATATCAATATTTTATTTGAAGCAAAACATAGAGATTAGACATTGAATTGGTATCATGTTTTGGTTTATTGTATGTTTCTATTTATAAAGATACACTTACATAAGATAAATTAAAATTGTTACAACGTAAGCCTTGCAGGGCATTGTAGCCAGATGAAATGATATATAACCTAATATGCCTAATTAAGATAGAACCAAAGTGACCTAGAGTCCGGGAATCTCGGATTACCAAAGCGAGCCGACGTTGTTATAGTATTGGATTTGATAGTTGTCCTAAAAACTACTGCTGGCTTCAAAGTCATCGACCGATGTGCTAGAATAGAGCATCGTCGCTGAGGAAGAATGGTTCCAAATGTAATGGTCGCTTTTTGTTTTAGTTTTGTTGGAGATTAGGTTGAGATTACTAGGCCATGAAATTTAGGTCCATAATCTTGAGGAAGCATGTGAATAACATCCCAGGAAGTATATAAGGGATATGGACTATTCCAGTACTCATTCCTAATTGTTTTTGGGTTAGAAGCACATGTAATTTTAATATGGTATCAGTGCCCGATCCACATGCTTCCGTAATCAGACCCTGACTGGGTTACCTTCGTACCCATGAGAGATGGTCTGTAGAAACTCCGAGATTAATGGATGTAGAGTCATTATCTCGAGGGAGGGTGTTAGAGATTATGTTGAGATTACTAGGCCATGTAAATTAAGGTCTATGATTTTGAAGAAGCATGTGAACAACGTCCCATATTGAAAAAATGGGAAGAGATTTGAGCGGTATATAAGGAATATGAGTCTCTCCACTCATTGTCAATTTGTTTTGGGTTAGAAGCACATGTAATTTTAATAAGTTTTGATATGGTTAAAATCGGTTTTGCCTTGTAGTTAGATTGTAGCCAAAATTCTTAACAAACAAAAACAAAACGTATGCTGGATATGTTGAAGAATTGTTAGCTCTGCCATGACAACAATTCACGTGGGTATGTTTTGAATCTAATTATTTGTTGCTTGCGGTAGCATAATGGATCTCGTTATATTTTGCCTTAAACTCGGATACCGCCCGTGCCTATCTACAGCAATTTTTCTAATCAATCAGATTCCATATCACACCTATAATATCAACCAATTAAGAAAGAAAGAGAAAAGGTATATCATATATAGTTCGAGTCTCTTGTCTGTCATAAAGTTGCCCTAATAACATATAGGTCGAGTAAATGGGGTTGACTGCTTTCTCTTTTTTGTCTTTTGCGTCTTTTTTTGGTTATATATTGTTTTCTTTTGGCTTTGGTTTCCTTCCATTTTGTTTGATTTTGGTTGGTGCTCTCTCATTTGTACATGGTATTGCTTTTGACCATATAAATCCTCTAGTGTTTAAACATTATACATATATACATTTAGAATTACAAGATATAGAAAAAACTCATGCATATACATTTTTGTAAAAAGGCTAGGTTTTTTTAATTTTAAAAAAAAAACTATGAATGTTTAACAAGTTGATCTGAGAACCCCAGAAAAAAAAAAGAAGAGAAACTCTAGCCCCAAGACTAAGCTTCCGTAGTGGGAAAACCGAAAAAGTACTAATTCGCAAAAATGTCTAACCTTATCAGAAGTAGCGTAAGTTTGGAAGCTATTGATAACTTGTATATATCAGATACAATTGAAGTTGTAAAAATATTTTTCCTTAGAAAATGGGATTATTGTCTAAAATGCCATTTTTTTGGAAAAACTTACGAAAATGGTATTTTTTTTTAATGGTTCACAGATTTTGCCATTTTTAACTTTTGAAAATGTACGTATTTATGATTTTTTTTTTTGCAAAAATACGTACTTTATACTAAATACTAAACCCTAAGAACAAATAGAACCGACTAAACCCAAACATAACTAATAAAACGCATGTTAAATCACATTTTTGGAACCTAAAAAATGGCAAAATCCATAAACTATTCAAAAAATGGCAAAATCTACAAATGCCATTATGAAAAATTGCAAAATCCGTAATTAATTCTTAAAAAAATAGATTTTTTTTTTAATTTAAAATATGAGTATTATATACAGGTTAACCAAAATCACAAGTAAAAGTTCTATTAGCTGTCTAACACACCAAAGGTAAATGTTATTGTACAGATCGATGTTCATACTAAAAGACAGCTCATTTCCTTTGTCAGAAAGTAATTATAACCCAAAATAGTTATTTATGGATAAGAAATAGAATGTTATTGTTGGCAAAAAAAAAGAATATTAGGGTTAATACAATTGTGTGGTATTTCTGTGTGGAGTGAGATCAT